GGTTCTGGTATTGCTAGCGCATCGTTACAATGCATTCGAAAGTGAAAAATATGAATAAACCCTTTTTTGTTATTGCTTGACCGTAGCGCTCAAAGAAAAATCTGTGGATTTACCTCTCTGGATTTGCTTCAGCAACTTCTTACTAAGGCAAATCTTCTTGCTTCTTCAACAACTTGACTCTCTCAGCTTGCTTTTGATGAATCCTTGAAATCATCTTTCCTCACAAATAAATGTAATACATGGATAATACCAGTAACTTTCCTGACAACTGCTGCTTGAGCAAAACCTTAGCGCATAAATGTTAGTATCATAATGTCAATATTTTGATTGAGACTGTCTGCTTATCATTGATTTCTGATAATAAATGAAGTCAAAAAGCTGCATAAACGATTAAATTCTAAGAAAATACTCTACAACTTGATGGCATCTCGGCTTTGCCAAAGTTATTCGCATGTCTATCTGCTCGGCATGGCTTCCCTTCATTTATTGTTCTGTTCTGAAACAAAATCTTGAGACGTCGAAAATGCTCACACTTGTCTCTTTGCTCAACCAGTATCATGATTCATTTTACAAGTTTTATGTGCCTCAAGTCAATTGTGGCGTCAAAACAAGAACAAAAAATCAGAATTTGCTCGGAACAGCTGTTTTTTCAAGGCTGCAATGCTATAAGGCTAGGGAAACAATAAGAACACTTTCACGTAAACAAATGAGAGTGGAGATTTCAGTTTCTGAAGGTTTTTCTAACCATTCCGCTTTAAGAAGTGCGTTGGGATTGATTATCCCGCTTAGTCCAAAACTCGGACCAGTTTTCTTCCTAGCTGGCTATAAAAGTGAACTCAAAATGGTCCCATCTATCATAGCCAGTTCCTCATGTCACCCATGTGATACGGCCATCCAGAGGGGATCTAGGCTAGAAATCTTCTACAACGCGTGACTGGATGATGCTGCAGCGACCTGTAGAGAGTTCATTCAGAGAGATTGGGGACGGGAAACTGGTTGCTAGTTCACGTGTGTGTCTCTCTGTGTGTGTTTACATCTTAGATCTTATCGACTGCGCATTGCTCGTTGAGGGACATCTTGCCATTCGTGTTCACGGAATGGCATCGCTGAACCATCCTGTTGTGCCGTTCGAAGCGGCGCAGACTTTTGCAGTCCTCGCGCTAGGCAAATCGTTGAATTTTTTGAAATTGAGAAATCTGCTGTTAATCAGCATTTATTTGAATTGTTTTATAGTAAACAGGAGAATGTCTTGATTATAAAAATCTAAAGTCTAAAAATTGTGTCCAATATAACTATGGACTACTGGCTCAAAGTAAATAAAAGCTAACTTCACGCCATGACAGATCTACTGTATCTAGTAAAATATATTTCGAACTTTTTGTCGCTTCGGCATACACTTCGAATCAACTTGTCTACGGTAATTTTTAGCTACTTTTTTAGACTACTAAAAATACTCTCATGATCAAAAAATCAAGATAGAGAGCAGTTTAAACGTGGTGTGAAACTGACTGTGAAAATTTCTTTATCCACAAATGTAGAGTCTAATAGATGTATCTAATAAAATAGTGTTTAGCTGCTGCGACAGCCCTTGTGCTGGAAAATACATGCAGTGAAAATATTCAAATTTCATGCCGCGTGGCCAATTTTTACGCGCAAGCGTTGCCTGCATCGCAAAAACACTACTAAATTGGATTATAACTTCATAATGTGCGCCATAGTTCAAACCCTTTTTTACTTATGTTCTTCCAAGGACTTTTCTATAGGATGTGAGAATTTTGTGTGAGCATTTTCACACTTTTCTAGCAAGATAATATATGTCTATGGAATCAATGATGTACATCACTTGATAAATATCGGATCTGGCAAATTAGACTCAGTTATTCGTCGTGTCTCTTATCAACAATACTAATTTTTTTCAAGCTGTTCGTCTGCAGCTTCTCTCTAACTTGACTATCTTGTAAATTGTCTTGCTCGTTACTTTTCTATTATTACATTGTACTTCTGTTTCCGGGCAGAATACTGTTCAATGAAAATAACCTTGGAAAGAATTTGCGGACAATAAGAACTAAATGGGATTGCACTCTTGTTCAAAAGAATGTTTGAAATTGCGAAGACCGCAATTATGTGCAAGTGCTCATTTTCTATGATAATTCTAGATTCGGCAGTGTTTTTGCGCTGCCAACATCTGCACGCAAGAATTGATTAAGGGACGCAAATATTTATCGACTTTACAAGCAGGCACTTCTTAGTATAGAATTTTCGACATCTTGTGATCAATACTGGAATTCGATTCAGGGAATGATTCTGTACATAACTATCTACGGGTGTTTGGAAAGTGTCTAGCCTAAAGTGTTTCAATTCGAATTTTGACGCCCTTTTTGTTTTACTATAATAATTAAGCGTGTACACCATTATTTCAGTGAATTTCAAATTTCTTTGTGATTTCTTTGATTTTTTATCAGATTGCAATATATCAAAATAGCCTTCCAAACCTCTTTCCTTGAAACGCTTCTTACGAAAACCTTTCAAAAGCTCTTTTTTTAAGGTTTCTTACATGTGCTTTTAGTTCATAGAAGTAAGTTCGTTTTGAAATACCGTACCTTGAAAGACAAAAGGTCCAGTTTAAGGAATTTTCATCAAGATATCCAGCGCCAAAGTTTTTATATGTCTCCAGAACCTTTACAAGGTGCAAATTTTTTGAAAACTAATACAAGGAAGGCCAAAGAGTTGTGCTACAAATACACGTTGAATTAATACTTCCAAAAATTTTTAGACGGAAAATTTTTTAAAGCAAACTTGTGCCGCGACTGTTTGCTGTAATTAAGCACATGAAAAATCTTTGTTCCCAAGCTACTGAAAACCTTTTGTTATGAAAAAAAGTGTAAACTTAGGACTACTTGTATAAAAAATATGGAGGGTTGTTTGTGATTTCCGGCGTTGAAAAAAAAGTAGAACAAATCAGATAGCGCACTTTCGCCTCTTCAACGAAGCTGAAAAATTGTTTACTTCCAATTTTTTTGGGTATCTTGAGGCAATAAGTATTTTCCTTTGTTGATTCAGTGTTTTCTAGGTTTAGCGAACACATATAGCAAAAATCGAGTTAGGATTAGTTGGATTACTAGAAACTACAATTTCAAACTCCCTGTATTTTTCACTTTTTGGACCAAATTTTGGGGATGAGATTATGCTTTTTTGCATAATTTTGTATTATAAAGCAATTTTCAAAGGGTTTGTCATCCCCCATCCCCTTCCCCCCCGCTCTAACGCTGCAGCTCACTCTTTATCAATCATTATTTTGCTTACCGTGGGATAAAATTATTGTGGGAAATTAGGTCCGCACAAGAGAGTAAGGTTGTTTACCGCAAGAAGACCTTTCACCGTTCCAATTTATAACTGCTTCGAGAATCATTTTCGGAAATGTCGCTCAATTTACTAATTTTTCTAGACCATTTCCTTTGCCTTTTTGCGATTAATAATTCTTGACTAGGGAAGTAAAGCGGAAAATTGCGCAAATGCGCGCAATTTCTCACATAGCTCACCTACAGCGTACCGTGATTCAAAAATTTTTGAAATTTTTCGCACGTATCATTCGAAAACCGCCCTCTACCCTTGATTCGTACAGTTTTATGCTATCACACAGGCAACAATTTCGTAATCTTCTACAACTAACAAAATCATGGATATTTCTGTACATCCCGAAATAGATCTGGAATAACAATGTCTATTCATGTAAATGTCTATTGTCTATTGTCTATTCTTCTGAATTTCTATTCATTTTCGACAGCACGTTTGATCCAACTTTTACAGTCTTCTTCTTTACACACAAAACATGTTTGATTGGATCGAAAATCTTTCCTAAGCTTACAACTTTGTTGTAGATAACGTTCGTAAGCATAATATGCGGTATCTATCGTCACTTTATCTTACAATCGAATCGTTGTAGTATTCTAGTCGGGTTTGGCAAAGAAGTTCTTTAGCGTTTGAGTGCTTTATTTGTTTTTTTTGCTGACATTGATTCATTATCAACGCTTATAGAGAGGGTCCAGTTTTCTCTCGTTTCCCCTTCTCATATCCTTGCTATTCTTAAAATCGCCAATCAACGCAATAAGTAGGAATATTGTTAGCTTGGTCCATTAGGTCACCCAACAAAATTCCTGAGAATTCGCTTTTTTGATTTCAACAATTTCGTTGTGTTCAACATAGTTCAGAAAAAGAAGATCATGCATTTTCCAGATTGTTTTTGAACGAAGATACCCTTTGATTCATGGCTTGGCGGCTGGAAGGCGGGATTCGTGAACTAATTAAGGCTAGGTGATGATCAGAGAGCACGCGCGCGGGGGAGACGCAGACTGCGTCGCGGGCGCGAGCGACCTTAACTAGTCACGAAGCCCCGCCTTCCAGCCGCCAAGCCAGTTCAATCAAAGGTTATATTCTGACCTATCAGGAGAGCTGATGGACAATCAATTCGTATATTCTCCAGATTTCGCCGCTTAGAGTGCTAGGCTCTCTAACAAAATCCATTTTTGCTTTTAGTTAAGGCTTTATGACTTATTTTATGACTTGGAGGATATCATGCTTATTGGATGTAACTACTATTAGTCGTGATCGTTGAGTTCCAAATTTCTTCGCTGATCTAACCGTTTTTAAACATCTTAAGACATTTATTTTTGTATTTTTGGGGTAAAACTTATGCACCAACCTAATATTATTGTCAAACTCATATTTTCTATCTAAAAATTTCGAAGGAATGTTTTGTATTGATTTAAATCAAAAGAACGCATTCCGCAGAGTGACTGTATGGATGAGTTCGCAGTTTTGGAAACATCACTGTACCGTTAAGCTGAATTTCCGGATTTTTTTCGATCCTAATATTTGTTGCCTTCGCTCAATGCTTTGTTGACCTCTTAGTAACTTGCTTACGATCCTTTCGTTTTGCCCGAGGCCGTCAGCTGATGTGCGACTCAGAGATTCTCGCTCATCATATGTCATCATCATCTTCATTGCAGGTAAACCTCTTCATCGACGATGCGACAATTTCAGCAGCGACATAACCTTTTCGACACTCTACATCGCTACAGCATGGTTCGTTTTTTAATCATTATTATCGTATAACCAATTTAGTTTTCTTTTTGGCAGAAAGCTATCATGAAATTTGACGTCTCGTCCGTCTCATCTCATCCTTCTGTGACTGTAAATTTTTGTTTGTCCTTTCTGTAGTTTTTCGTGGAAACACTTTGATTAGAATAAGGATTTTTCTTTAAAACTTTCTACAAAATCTGGGAGAATTCGCAGTGTATGTCATAAATTTGATATCCACCTGCTCGACAGTGTGGAGAGTCACACTAATTTACAGGGTGTTTGAAAAGTTCGTGTCCTTAAGCACTCCAACTGCGAACGCTGACTCAATTATTGCTATATGTATTCGCCAAACCTTGAAACCACTGAATCAACAAAGAAAAATATTTTTTGCTTCAAAATACCCTAAAAAATTTGGAAGTAAAAATTTTCGGCTTCCTTGGAGAGTGCGTTATCTAATTTGTTCTTTTTTTTCAACGCCGGAAAAGGGAAACAGCTTTTGGTTTTTTTACTGCAAATAGTCCTAGATTTACACTTTCTTTATATAACAAAAGTTCTTCAGTAGCTTGCTAAAGAAGATTTTTCGATGCGCTGAATCACAGCAGACAGGCGCGGCACCCCGTTTGCGCTAAAAAACTTTCAGTTTGATAAAAATTTGGAAGTCTTATTTCAACATGTATTTGTAGCACAACTCTCTGGCCTTCGTTGTATTCGTTTTCGAAAATTTTTCACGCTTGCAAAGGTTTTTAAGATAAGATATAAAAATTTCGGTGCTGGACTTTTTGACGAAAAAATCCTGAAAGTGGATCTATTGGCTTTCGAGGTACGATGTTCTTTGAACGAACTTACTTCTGCGAAAGTGAGAGCATATTTAAGAAACCTTGAAGAAAGGGCTTTTAGAAGGTATACTAAGTTTTCTGAGAATTATGTTTCCTTTTTTGTAACAAGCGTTTTGAGGAAAGGGGTTTGGAAAGCTATTTTGATGTGTTTCAATCTAATAAAAAATCAAAGAAACCGCAAAAACACCTAATTTTTACAGAAATAATGGTATTTAGGTCTGATGAGCACAATAAAACAAAAAAATCGTCAAAATTCGAATTGGAAGTACTTTAGGCCACGAACTTTTCAAACACCCTGTATGTGTGGCGAAGGGGGGGGGGGATGAGAGAGGAGACTGCTTTCAAACTACTGTATTCAGTCCACTATCATGCATGCGTTCTGGAGTCAAGATTTTGTCAAAACTTATGATTTTTTGTTCTATATAACTGAGGATGATTAATCTCCCTTTATCCCATACGGAACATCGAATTGAGAGCATTTTTGGTAAAATGTATGCAGTGTATGCGGTGTATAAATTTTGAACATATTTTAGATTTGGATGATTTCTATAGATTAAAAAAAGAAAACAAAGCCTTTTCATATTGACAGAGCTTCAAAAGTTAAATGGCAAAACTGTGCAAAATTTTATTTTTGTTTGCAACCGCAAATCTTATTAATTCAAGGTTTTTATTCCCCAAAGACTATATAGGAACAAACTCGTCCCATAAAAGCATATGTGGTCCCGAATTCGAGTTTTGAAAATCATATTTAAGTTTTGTAGTTCAGCGGCAGCACCTTCAGATGGAAGATGGGGATTTAATCATTTTTACACTCAAGGTTACTGCTACCACGCGCAGTAGGTGTGATAAACACGCAAAAAAAGCACCTGTTTTACGTTACGACACTAAACAAATCATTGAGTGACAGCTAGTTTTTACTAGTACGTGCAGTTCAAGAGGAAGCTCTCATTTACGACCTTGTTACTGTCAGTCTGAGCATTACATCAGTCGAGGTCATCTTGACGTTCTTTTCATCTCGTATTATCCTTCAATCAAAGTCGCCCTAATTGATGTGGGGATATGACCATCGTTAAGAAAACAAATGACGTGTTTTGGTGGCTACCAGTTCTATCTCAAACTTTTGATTATGCTCGCATGTGCTATGAGAATGAGATTTGACAGTTTACCTCTATCGAAAAATCGTAGTCAAGGGTTGAACATGAAATCAATGACTGCCTTTGATTATAATAATTTGTGATAAAGTTTCGTTTTGTGTAATGCATTCAGTAGCTGTTAATAGACTTTGATTGCGGCTAATTGAATTGGTTGCTATTACCTGTTTCGTTTCACTAATCCCACTTATATTATGGGAAAATCGAGCAAGTTGAAATAACCCAATTTTAGCATTATTGGACTCTTCCTCGGGTCGTTGATAAGGGAGGGAAGGGGATGAGGAGAAAAGCGGATACGGGTCCATGTAAATTTCTGTCTCAAAGTATTAGGCTGTCAAGAAAATAATGTCGTTTTTTATTTGCTTGCTTCAATAAAGCAAACAGACTCAACCCAACAAAGGATAGGGGATACTATTCGATAGAGCAAAGCCAGCTCTACAAGATGACGCTCATAATATTGCGCCAAGTTCGATCCACGGAAAATTTCAAAAACCTAAAGATTTTCAAATGTCTAAAAAATCCAAAAAAATCAGATCTCCGTCCAAATAATTTCTGCGGGCCTTCCACTCACAAGCGTCAATACTTTCGATATCAGACACCCATATGTGCAGTTGCTGTATTTTTTCCCCAATTAGAGACTGAGAAAACGAAAATTTTCATGATATTCTTAAAGCAATGCTGAGCCGTTCTTGCATATGTGGTTCTATACTACAAGCCTAGATTAACGTAACTGTAGATTTTCAGCCTTTTCCGAGAGGTAGTTTTCGAGAAATGTCGATTTTAGCACTGAAACTGAAAAGAAGGGAGCTGAATCCAATATTTCTCGAAAAGTAACGCTCGGAATGGGCTAAAAATTCACAGTTATAATTCTAGGCTTGTACCATAACACTACATATGCAAGAACGGCTCATTATTGCTTTGAGAAAATTATGGAAACTTTCGTTTCCTCTGTTTCTAGTCGAGGAAAAAACACAGCAACTGCACATATGGGTGTCTGATATTGAAGGCATTGGTGTATGTAAGTGAGAGGTCCGAAGAAAATTATTTGGACTGAGATTTGATTTTTTTGGATTTTTTAGACATTTGAAAATCTTTAGGTTTTGAGTTGAAATTTTCCGTGCATCGAACTTGGTGCAATATTATAAACAAAATCTTGTAGAGCTAGCTTTGCTCTATCGAACAGTATCCCCTACCCTTTGTTGGGTTGACTTTTGCTTTATCACAGCAACAAATAAAAAACGACATTATTTTCTTGACAACCTAATAACTTGCCCTAGTTCGCAATCCGAACTATTATCTGAGCAAATTTTTTTTGGTGTAGATTTATGCATGAGAGATTTGATATTCACACTAGGTAACTGTAATTATTTCAAGAAAACTAAGGGAAATTCGGTAGCGAAATGTTTCGATCTACTAAGGTATTGCAAAGAAAATAGACCATGTTTTTTCTGGCAGTTCTCCAAAAAATCGAATCTTTGGAAACGTGGAGCAGTTTTGCATTTTTTGGGAAGCATGGCTGCGTTTTTCCAAAAAAAAGAAGTTATTTATTTCTTACCTCCTTTCTCAAAAAAAAAATTTTTGCTGCGACCATTACACACCATCTCGGCCATTACATTTCGATATTTTGAGCATTTGAAGACGTGTCAGTAAAATTCGACTGCGCAAATTTCTGAGGGCTAAAATAATCACTTTTGTAATTTGTGCCGACTGAATTGGTTTAGCCACAAAATTTTGAATAATCACGCCCAGCTGATAATTTTACGTTCCTTCTAACCCACGTGTACTTCAGGTGGTTGGCATTCTCTCATGTCTGTTACATGTGGCCTTCGATGGCCTCGCATCACTTCCACTACTGGTAGCAGTCTCTTACCTTATGTGCGCTCATTACGGATGTTCTTCCCGTAACCGATTTTCCATCACCTACATTCGTGAGGTGTGGGCAAAAGCCAAAACAAAGGTAACTGTTTTTCTTTGTTTTGTGTGATTCTCCAAATTATAATATTTTAGACGCTTCTCCGAGTTTTCTCCATGACGGAATTATGTTTGCTGCGAATAGTTTTCTTGTCATTGCACGAATCTAAAGTTGATGATACCATAACCGTGGTAAGCTTTTTTTCGAAATGGTAAAATTAGCATACAATTTCGCTCGTTTCACAGTCATTGCCCTCTCCGAAATAGCTTAGCTGGTTGTTTCGCTGGTTCAAAGTTACCGGTGCCAACGTTGTGCCAGCGCCGATCCACCGCCGATCCAGCGCCGTTCCAACGCCGTGACGGAATCGATAGATCAACACAGGCGCGTCCACGAGAGTTCCGGCATGGTGCTAGAACGGCCCTGGAACGGCGCTTGCACGGCGCTGGCACGCGAGCGACTTCAAACCTGCATTAGAATAATTATTTGTTCGTTTCAGTTTTTGGCATACGTTCAATTACTAATCGCCTTCACCGACAACTTAAGCCTATGTTGTGAGCTAGAGGAGTCTCGTTCGTCAAGACGACGAGGCCTTCGATGGAACGAACGACCACAGGCTGCAGCTGCCGCATGATGGGCACATTTACCTACTTTATACAAAATTTATCACTCTTACATCGTTCCCAACATTGCCTCTACTTATCCGTTCAGTACTAGGAACGGCCAATGTTGATGATTTTTTGTAACATAATGATTGTTTTCTGTGCTGCAGGGTTGTTCGGGTATAATTTTCTAGGTGCTCACGTCAATCTACTATGGGGTGTACAAAATACCTGTGCTGTACATAATCTTGTGATCATCGCTTATAAATAAATATAAAACCTGTGAGTACTGGAGGCGCAAATCTTTTTTTATGGAGGACGCAAAGCAGTATTATGAACTTAGTATCAGATGCATCGCCTTATTATGATATTCCAACACTTATCGCGATTTGCCTTCATGTGCACTCGTACGATACTGTTCGTATTTTTTTGAAAAATTGACAAAATAAGGCAAAGCCGCCGATTCATATGCCATCGCCGCAGCGTGGCCATATCTCACTTCAGGGTAAAGGAATGCTTAATCCAAAGGCACCATTCGCTCAGCTCGGGCCTGCGAATCTTCTGATATTAGAAGTGCCCTCTTGGACACAGCAAGAGGCCAGATTTCAGCAACCGTTTTAGATTTTTGCTTACGGTGGTTTACCCAGTGAGTAAATGAATAAGCACACTGAGTAACCTACCGCAAGCAAAAATCTGAAGCGATTCGTGGAATCTGGCCCCTACTGTGTCCAAACAAGCACTTCTATAAATTAGAAGATGCGCCGCGCTGAGCTGAGTTGAATGGTATGGATTGTAAATTCCTCCACTTTGAAGCGAGATATGGCCACGCGCTGCAGTGATGTCACATGAATCGGGTGTCGCGGATTGGGCCCCCAGCTCCCAACGTCAGTGGTATAATTGCTCTCCTGCATCGGCGAGGGGAGCCAGGGGTCCGCTCCGTGAGAATAGTGAAGCGCAACGTGTGAGGTGGCTACCTGTGTAACTGCTCTATGGGCCTGCCACATGGGAACTCCATACACACTTAGGGGCCCTTGCCATCAGCCTGCTTAGTAGCTACTCGTCACTTGGGACTCGACCTATGCTTCCAGCCATCGACAGCTGGGGCGTGTACTCACAACCGTGGCACTTAGCATGCATCGTGCCAGCCTTCCTGCAGATGTTACCCATTAGGCTTGAGTACGAAATACACACAAAATGATAACACAATACTCCGGAGCCACAGTCGAGCTGTGGTCACCGCTCCAATGCATATCACACGAGTAAATGCCCACCATTTGTCCACAATCAATCCCTAGACTCAAACACAATGGGGTGGAGCACAACCAGCCAAGATCTTACAACCCTAGGGGCCAGCAGTATCGAAAACCCCCCGAGGCGGTGTCGCCGGCATGTGCCAGGTGCGATCGCACTCGGGGTTACCTCGTAGCGCGGGGTGCCAGTCCTCCGTGGCGTAGATGGATGTGACGCGTGAGATGGGATTGGCGCTGTATCGATCGATGGCGTTGAAGCGAAGATGGAACCCGACCGCTCACGATGGCGACAGCAGCGTAGACTGACTACGTGACTTAAACGAAAGCTGCGCAGGTGAGAGAGGTGAGAGGCGGGACAGCGCGAGGACGGCGTTTCAGGACCCCTTCGCACCGCGGCGGCGGCCTCCTTTGAAGGAAGTCGCGAATCCGCGACATCGGGCGACTTTGCGTCGTTATTCCAAAAATACGAGCGGTACTGTAGGCTTCTCAGCATGCGTACAAGTATACTTGTCACTAGCGGCAAATAGACTGACCGTTTACAGTAACGTCAGAGAGAAAATACGCACAGCAAAGAAGAGATCTCAAGCTGCACTGCTGAAGCGGAATAAAATACATGTATCAATGCGTGTTGATGTGCCAATGCTGAGTCTACTGCCTCTGCTGAACGATTCGGAGTGTCTTTGGGGTTCTAATGCATCATGCGTATTATAATGCAGCATGAGAGTGCAGAAGTGGTACGGTGTACAGTACTGACTACAAGAAATAATATATTCACCGAAAACATGTCATATTCCATGACTAGGAGACTAGAGACCGCTTTGCACACCTTATCCAAGGCCGTATTCACGTACATCTCCGCTGGGGAGGGGAGCGGACCCTGACAAGGGAAGGATATTTGGTCGAAGCGGCGTTTCCACATGAGTTGTATACTATCTTATAGAGCATGGAACGCTGATTGCTCTCTGCTTTCGGTATCTGCAAAGCGCTTCTGGAGTTCTCGGAATTTTTTGAAAGATCCAATGATTTGTCTAAGATAAAAGTAGGTATTGAGGTATTCCGACGCTTAAAAGGACTAACGACTGACATGATTTCTAGATTGAAGGTCTTTAATCCATAAAATGCCCTAGTAGTTTTAACGGCCCCATTTGAGTCACGGATTAAGATTCTGACTGATTTTATTGTATCGCTGCTTACAAATCTTTGCATACCATAACTCCCCTCTCAGAAGCGCTTTGTAGATAAAATTTGATTTGATTTGAAAGATTTGTAGATAAAGTATTCTTGAAATCAGCGTTCCATGCTCTATAAGACTGTGTACATGTTGTATAAAGACGCCGCTTCGCTCAAGTATCCGTTTCATGTGAGAGGGACGCGTCATAATTCGTTATTCTACCCTTTAGTTTAACGGGACGGCGGGTGGAAGGCGAACGCTCGCACCCTCGAAGTAGTCTTCGTCCATCTCGCCACCGCTCTCTCTTCAGTGCTTAGTTTTAATTAAGCTTCGAAGCTCCGCCTTCCAGCCGCCATTTCCGTGAATTAAAGAGTAAATATCTGTATTCTTTTTTCTCTGTTAGTGGCGTCATATCGTTACTTTAGATATCTGTATTCTTCTTTTTCTGTTTGTGTTATAAAGGTTCCTTTACCCTGATACTAGTATAATGGATGACAGAAATTAGCATACAAGCTGAGATTTTCACTGTTTCGTGTGATCTTATGAAAGACATCTATCTTTCCAGAAAGTCGATGAAAAAGCATAAAGTTGTGAGGATTTATAATAGCACTGCTAGGGATGTTTTCCACAGAACACATGTCACACATAAAAAATCAAAGTTATTTTTGAAATTTCTCCGAATTATATTTGGCAAATTTCCAACTCTACTTGTTGACGAGCTTAGACTTTCAGACTGCTTCAGGATTACTACCAGTGCTCCCAGAAGTCTATAAAAAACCTAAAAGGATGGAAAAGAAGAATAAAAGAATTCTTAAAATTCAAAGAAAACAATGGAGGTTGGAGTGCCCCCATGAAGTTATATAATTACTGTAAGTCATGTTGTGAGGGCATAAATGGCACAGCGGATAGCCCCCTATCCCTTCCCCATGTTTGCCAAATATGAGCTTGCCGAATTTTTCAGAGTTTTTCGGGGAAAGACGAAGAAAGTATAACAAAACTTATGTAACAACTTAATAGATGAAGCCTACACGTTGCAAGCTTCACTCGAATGCAGATTACGAAAAAGGTCTGATTGCGTTTGCAAGCTAAAAAAACGTATATTGTAAACCGCGTATAACCAGCCTCCAATCCAGCTTCTTTCAACAAAATTTTGCCATATTTCATAAAAGGGAAGGAGCCAAGTCACTTTGTTCCTTTATTCATCTATTTATTTACTTATGTGATACACTTTGTGATGTTCCAAAAACTCAAAAACTCAAGAAAAAACTTTGAAAAACAACACAAACGCAACGCACAAAAAGGGGCAGTAATGCTCTGATCCAGAGTGTGTCGTGACGGTAGAGTCCTTGCGAGATGATCAGGTCGTTTTCCTTCTTCACAGGTGGGAGTCATTTTCCGAGATCTTCTTCCCGAACTCAGACACAACGGAATGAGGAAATGGTTCTCAGGGCTCGGCTGACCGACATGACTTAGGGCGCCTGCATGCGCCAAGGACCCTGGGGGAGAGGAGAGGGGGTTTTGAAAAAAAGCTCACCCCTTTGTCTTTTCAAACGGCTATTCCACGCTGGGGAGCAGGCTGTGATCGCTCAAAATATAAGGAAAAATACAAAAAATAATCAGCACATCAATAGTGTAACACAAGGATTAGATGTGCGTTCTGAATTTCGTGGATGCGCGTATTTCCTACGAGGAGTCAAAACTCTAGAAAGAACTCTGTTCCCAATTTCACGGTAACTTAAGCAGAGCCCTCCCACTCGCATTCCACAAGGACCCATATCTACTCGGTTTTAGTCTCGTCTACAGTCTGATGACATGGGAACAAAGTACCGATTTATTACTATTCGCCGATACCGTAGCTTCGCAATCCCAAGGCGGTTAATCTCATTCTAAAGCTGGTGGGATAATCCTTTTAGAATAACACCTATAGAAAGTGACTCTTGTGAATGCTTCTTGTGCTTTTTCTAACATCTCAATGTCCTTTTCCTTGAATGGATTCCACACCGGGGTGCAACTCCAACTCCATTTCCGTTTCATCGGCTTTTAGCGGATTTCTGCATATGTAACAACATCTTGTAAAACTGTATGTAGCTGTAACCAAGAGTTTAACGAGCCAGTCATCAGAATTGAGGATGAAATTCGTATTTGAGGATTAGTAAATAAAGCTGAATTCGTTCTGAGCCGGCAAGAATCTGGTGACGGTCGATGAAAACAGACTTGATTATGTACTACTAGAATGTTTGCATCGGCCTGGAAAAGCCTTTGATTACCCTCAGCTTTTTTTCTCCTTTTGGATTTTCTTCTTGGTTGTCGTATCAGTATGTGGTCTATTTCCTTAGCACTTGTCCATCTGGTGGGCGTCAAGTTCATCTTAGCCATTGAGGCTTTCGAAAAAGAGTTTGCAATAACGAAAATTTTCAGAATCGACGAATTCAAACATGGCTTCTCCTTTTTTGTTTCGTATGTCAAGACATTTGTCACCCACATTCACTTCGCGGCATATCTCTTCCGATAGCGTAGAGTTGATAGGTAAAAGTTTGGTAGACATAAATTTTTCCAAACTTCACCCTTCACTTTGGAAGGGAAATCTTCTACGCCTACATTCAGTAAACGTGCTTACCAGATGGCTGTTCTGAATGTAATGTGGGCTGCGCCACACTGCTCCGCACAAGTTTAGTGTGGAATATCACGGTGTTGCATTATATCAGAAGTTTTGCCTTGATGAGCTGAGCACAAGTTCTTTACCAGTCTGTACCCCCCCCCCCCCCGTCCCCCTCCCCTCCACCCCCAAACTGGTCCTGAATGGACCGCTATCTGTGAAATATTAATGGAAAGATTTTGCAGTTTGTTGTTGAGTTTTATCCTTG